CCCCATGACCAACAACAACAAAAAAAAGTAGCAGCAAGGATTATACTGCTGTGGGATGCCAGTGGTTCAAGCCTATGATCTTAGCTACTAACTCAGGAGGCTGAGATCTGAGGATCATGGTCTAAATCCAGCCTAGGCAGGAATATCCATGAGATTTAGACATCTGATTTGGTCCTCCTGTGAAATGAATATCTCTCACAAAATAAATGTTTGTGGTTTTTTAAGTAATGACTAGGAAGAAAAATAATGAATGACAACGAGATAGCTATTCAGGGAAACAAAAAGCTTTCTTCGTTTGACAATATTAGAGCTCTGTACTTACCTCCCTAGTCTTTTCCTGGTTATTTGGTAGCTGTTTACTTTTTAAATTCAGTTTGGGTTATGGGGTTTTTTCAGTGGATATTACCCTAAATCCATGGCTCCTGAATGACCAAAGCCAACCTTACTAAAACCCAAAAGGATCCAGAATGAAGGATCACTGCAAGACAGAGACGAGGATAAAGAGATGAAGGTTAAATGACTCCTGCAGAAAAGTTAGACCATTCATTCCATCCCTCTACATTCTCATGAAAGTTGCTTGATTGTACAATCATGTGGGAGATTGAGGCTGTCCCGGCCAAATGACATTGGCTGTGACTGTCTGAAAATAGCAATGTTGGACTCTTTCTGTGCAGTTCCATTATGGTAATTCCTATGTTAATAGCAAACTTCTGACTCACTGGGGGCTCTCATGGAGTTTATGGAAAAGGAAAAAGGGAGGAGAAGAGGAAAAGGAAAGGAAGAAAGGAAAGAAAGAAAAGGAAAAAGGAGAGGAGAAAGATAGGGAGGGGAGGGTAATGGAGGGAAGGAGAAGGCAGAGGAGGGAGAAGGAAAAAGAAAGGGAAAGGTCTTACTTTGGGAAGAGCTGTGAGCCATTTGTACCCTTCATGTAACCCTCAGCAACTCCCAGTGTTTGGGACAAGTATTTGTTCATCTTCATTTTGATACTATTGGTGAGACTTTGACCTGAGGAAATGAGGCAATTTAGACTAAGGATTATTTATTACACTCATTTCATGGTGGGATTATTTATTACACTGATTTAGTAGTGGGATCTGTCTTGGCAGGGTTTTAGGATAGTCTTTTAAATACACACCTCTCTCCCAACAGTGTTTCCTACCCGTTCTGATCCATCATTCTGTGCATGCATCCAGAGGTTTTTCATCCATCAGAATAACACTGCTTTGTTTGCATGAAATACTTTATGGATTTCTTATGTATTTTCATCATTATGTGTTGTTGGGTTATAACTCAACTCTTTGTGCAGAAGCTGGCACTTCATATCCTAATTAATAATTCATAAGTTCCAGAGAATTACTTTAGACCTTTAAAACCAAATATCTTGAATTTTAATATGCCCAGTGTCATTTCAGCTTCTAGTTTAAGGGAGTATATTCTGTAGCTAAGCTGGTTGTCTCGGGACACCTTACAGAAGAATATGTATTCCTGTTTCTTGCACCTTTTTTAATTTTAAGATGCTTGAAAATTTTAGAATATCAGATGTAATAAAATGCCAGTTGAGGGACCTCACCTATGGATAGACAGGTACCATAATGATGTTCAAAGCTCATCACAGAAGCTGCCAAAGTGCAACAGCGAAGGAACAAAAGGTACCTCTAAAGGCTCCTATTTAGTTACTAAGCCATGTTTACAAAGGCAAGCACTAAGGCATGCTTCTCAGCCTGTTCAGAAACCACAGTGAAAGCAGAGACACAAAATCGCCCATGTGGCTACACTGGGCATAGAAACTCACAGCCATGCTTTTGTAATCTTGTGCAGTGAACTGTCTAAGACTGGGGTAATGAAAACTTAGTAGGTATTTTTCAAACTCCAAGTCAGCTATGTAGTTGGGATTAGATTCTTTCCTTTCTTCCTTCCTTCCCTTCCCTCTCTCCTTCCCTCTTTTTGTCCCTCCCCTTCCCATCTTTTCCCTTTCCTCCATTCCCTTCCTTTCTTACCTCTTCCCTTTCTTCCTCCTTCCCTTCCTTCCCTCCTTATTTTCTTCTTTTTTCTCTCCATTCCTTCCTCTCTCCCTCCTTCCTTTTTTCTCTTTTTTCTTCAGTCTTCCTTTCTCTTTTAAGTTGTAAGCAATGTATATTTTGTAGGGAGGAAAGACAGTTCTGAGTTGTTTTTCATCTCAGCTTTACATTGTCTTATTCCAATCAATACTCAGAAAATAAAGTCACCTGTATTATCTGCTTTCTTATAATAGTCGAATCTTTCTTCCTTTGGAATGATGACATTTCTTTTTTCAGCACCTACCCTTCTCAAAGAAGTGAGACTATTCACAAATTTATGTTTCCATAAAATAAGGTGTTGTTGAAAGATAGGATAATTTTCAGCTCCTCTGATGTGTACATCATTGCTGCATAAATACTGAGAGGAGCAAGAGGAAATGAAAGAAGACTTTGTTTGAGACTAGAATTTCCAAATTAACAAAAAATGAATCATTCTATTTGAGTGCAGCTGATTTCACTGGAAATTAATGTGAGACTGGTCGCTGAGTTTCACAATTGTTTTGAGCTTGTATTTGTCATTGTGATGTCATAGCTACTTTCTGATTTTACAAACCAAATCACCTACCAAGTCCTCTTGCCTGCCTGGGAAATTGTACCCTCCCAGCCAGGGTGTCGGGGCTCTTTCACTCGATTGTTTCAAGTGCATCTCTGACATTTTTATGATGCACCTGTGGATCCTTTTTAAACTTGAGATTCTAAATTGGTAGATCAGGGTTAGGACAGAAGAAATCTGTGTTTCTAACAAGCCTCTGATGATGTTCCTACTGTTCATAGACAAAACTTTGAACAGCAAGATTTTAGAGTGTCTTCACTTAGAACCGTCAAATTTAGTAATGTGGCAATTCAAAGGCAAAGGAAAAAAATGGAATAGGTGGCATTTGTATTTCTAAGTACAGGTAACTGGATGTGTATTTTCATAAGGCTGGCCTGAGTTCACATCCTACAGTACACAGCCTTGGTACACAGACTGCTTCCCTGTGCCCCTCAACCACCGTTTTAGCAAAGTAATGAACAGCTTCTAACCATTGTCCTTGAAGATTGAGGCATTTTACTGTGTTCTAGACTTAATATGCCTAGAGTCTCAAATAGTCCCTGGTACCTGGCTAATTAATGAGTTGAATTGAATCAAACGGAATTAGCTGAATTTCATTAAAACTATATAGAGATGACCTCTTTTTTATCCATTTAAAACCACTGTATCCCCTTTAAGAACTTTATACCGCTTTTGTCCCCGTTTACAGTTCTGTCAGTGACTGATATATTAGTCCAGATTGATGTGCTGATTTTGAGACATGCTCATTTTAAATATAGCATGAAGAGGTAAATATCCATGTAGGGGCTGGGAAGTTGGCTCACTGGTAGAGCGCTTGCCTTGCATGCCTGAGGCCCTGGGTTCGATTCCTCAGCACCTCATAAGCAAAAAGAAAAAAAACAGAAGTGATTCTGTGGCTCAAGTGGTAGAGCACTAGCCTTGAGCTGAAGAGCTGAGGGACAGCACCCAGGCCCAGAGTTCAGGCCCCACGACCGGACCCAAAAAAAAAAAAAAAATCAATGTAAGTTAAAGGTAATAAAGACTCAAGAATTTCAAAGCCCTTTTCTCACTACAAATACTGAACAAAATTCTATCCAAAATAAGAGAAGTTTAACAATCATTGCTTATTTAAGAGTTTTATTCTGGAGATAAGAGCAAGGGCACTTCTATATCATATTTGACAGATCCAAGATGTTCATATAAGACATTATTAATTATTCTGTGTCTTCAATAAAATAAGCAAATAAAAAAATTCACTTAGTGGGGTGGAACTGGCGGCTGACACCTCCAGTCCTAGCCACTGAGATCTGAGGATTGGAGTTCAAAGCCAGCCCAGGCAAGAAAATCCGGGAGACTCTTATCTCCAATAAACTATTCAGAAAAAGCCAGAAGTGGTGCTGTGGCTCAAGTAAAGCACTAGCCTTGAGCACAAGGAGGCTCAGAGACAATGCCCAGACCCTGAGTTCAAGACCTACGACTGGTAACAACAACAACAACAAATTCACTTGGTGTATTTGCAGCTTAAGAGATTTGAGTACAGTATTGTGCCACGGTATTGCATGAATGAAACTTAAGTATTATTTAATCATTGTTTCTTCTCAGAATTTGATTTTGCTTTTAAAAAATAATAAAATTAGCTGGGTTCCAGTGGCTTGCACCTGTAATCCTAGCTACTTATGAAGCTGAGTTCTGAGGATCATGGTTCAAAACCAGCCCAGGCAGGAAACTCCTTGAGACTCTTCTGCCCATGCTGGCTGAAACTAAGATCCTCAGATTTCACCTAGATTACAGGTGTGAGCCACTGGCACCTGGCAAAATTAACAGTTTTACTGAAAAATTTCACACAGAGACTATATAGTTTACACATTAAAAGTCTCAATTAGCATGTAGTATATTCATAATTGTGTACCACCACCATAGTTAATTTTAGGACACTTCTATATCCCAAAAAAAGAAATGGTATACACCTTAGCCATCACCCCCCAACCAGTTCTTACCTTCTCTCAGCCCAAAGAAACTGCTAATCTACTTTTTATCTCTATATCTATACATTTCATATAAATTATTTCATCCAGTATGTGGTCTTGTGGGAGTATTATTGAGTTGTAAAAGTTCTTTATATATCCCAGATACAAGTCCCTTATCCAATACTTGATTTGCAAATCTTGTTAGAATTCTGTGGCTTCTCTTTTCTTTTTCTTGACAGTGTGCTTTGACACACAACAGTCACTAATTTTAACGAATTCCAATTGTTGTTTCTTGGGTCGCTTGGTCTTTGGATGTCATATCCAAGAAATCAGTGCCCCAATCCAATGTTCTAAGTTTTCTTTGTGCTTTTTTTAGGTCTGTTTTTTAGTCCTTACTCTATTTTGAGTTAACATTTGTATATTGTGTTCTCTTTTCTTCCTAAGTGCTGTGATCTTGGCTACCATGCAAGTCTGAACAGAGTCCTGAGAACTTATCTCTCAGCAGAATATAACCTTGAGACCTCTAGACATGAAGGCTTGGACATTATTGAGAATGCAGTTGACAACTTAGAGCCAAGGAATGATAAGCAGAGATTTATGGAGATGTTTCCTGCCGCATTCTGTCCACCCATGAAGTTTGAGTTTCAGTCTCACATGGGTGATGAGGTCAGTAGAGTTCTCTTCACTTACACCTCTCCTTACGTGTTATAACTGAATAGATGTAAGCATTCTCCGTCATTTTCTCTCATCCGCCCGTATATAAGATCTCAGCGTGATATTTTGCCAAGATCAGCCACCACCACCACTACCACCTTTTAAAGCAAGGGTCATACAAATTCATGTGCAGATTGCCTGGGTGTAAGTACTCAACCAGCCCAGAACAGGCCAGAGTTCTTCAGATTTGTAGCATATATCAGTACTTTGTGCCTTTTCATGGCTGAATGATACTCCATTGCATTCACATTTGGATCAAAAACAAAGCAGGTTTGGGGTTTTTTGGTACTACATTTCTCTCTGAAGATTCTTTGTATTATTGATGAAAAGATTTCCACCCACTCCTCCCAGAAAAACAACAAAGGAAATTGCAGGGAAATAGAAGAGAGAAAAGAAGCATAAAATTTCTTTTTAGACTCAGGATGACTCCATCATGGTAAAATGAGCACCAAAAATTATGTATTTGATGTTACCTTCTGTATATATGAATTTAGCATTCTATCCCATGTTACCAAACTCATTCAAACTAATTATGAATTTATAACTGCTTTTATTAGTGTCTATGCACAGAGGAAAAACCAACTAACAGCATACATTGTAGAACACTTGGTAATCCATCTGTGCAAGCAAAGCTAAAAACTCAAGGGAAAAAAAAAGCCAAGCAATAGCATGAGTTCAAGCCCTGGTATCAAAACAATCAATAAATTGGCTCATGCCTATAATCCTAACTACTCTGGAAACCGAGATCTGAGGATCGAGGTTCAAAGCCAGCCTAGAGGAAAGTCCATGAGATGCTTATCTCCAATTAACCTGCAAAAAGCCAGAAGAAGAGCTATGGCTCAAGTGATAGAATGCCAGCCTTGGGAGAAAAAGCCAAAAGAAAGTGCCCAGGTCCTGAGTTTAACACACACACAAGATTCTGGGAGTGAGATTTATTTGTTTGTTTATTTATTTAATCAGAGCTCTATCCTCAAGTGTTAGCCAGGCTGAGCAGTTATTCTTCACTTGCCACTTAGGTCAGCTCTCAGTTTGAAACTGAAGCTTTGAGGTGGCTATTAAAAGTACAGGCATGTACCATGCCTGGTACATGCATATGTTGGGATCCCACCAAAGGAAACAGGATTGGGAGTTTGAGGAATGCCTGGACTGCACAGTGAGACCCTGACTCAAAACAAAAAAAAAGTCAGATATATTTGGAATCTTAAGAATATTAGTGTAACTCATGTGGCATCTCATGAAGAGACTCATGCCTCTGAGGCCCTCTGGTAACTGTGGTATCTGGTTTTCCTTCAGGTGTGTCAAGTCAGTGCACAGCAGCCAGTCCAGGCGGAGCTCATGCTCAGGTACCAGCAGCTGCAGTCCCGACTGGCTACACTCAAAATCGAGAATGAGGAGGTAAGTGCTTTCTGTTCCACAGTGACTAATGCCCTTGTGGACCAGAAGGCATGCTCTCGTGGCTAAGCATGTCTGCTGTTCTCAACGCAGACCCTATACCGTGTGCTACCAGGAGCCCTACTGTGCTCCCAAGAGGGAAGATGCAAAGACTGATGTTCTTCCACAGATGAATACTTGATCCAATAATAAGCTAATAATTCCTACCAGAGAGTCAATCAATACTTGTCTTTTTCTTTCCTTATGCTTTTACTTATGTTTCTTCCCCCTCCCCTCCGGACCTGGGACTTGACCTCTGGGCCTGGGAGCTGTCTCTGAGCTCCTTTTGCTCAAGGCTAGTGCTCCACCACTTAAGGCACAGCTCTACTTCTGTTTTTTTTTTATGATTAACTGGAGATGAGAATCTCATAGACTTTCCTGCCTGGGCTGGCTTCAAACCACCATCCTCGATCCTAGCCTCCTGAGTAGCTAAGATTACAGGTGTGAGCCACCAGCGCTCCGCTGCTTTAATTTTTTGACAGTGAACCTTGGCATTACTTATAAGAATGCATCATATTTTGAAACATTTTCTATCCTTAAATGAGGATAAAAAAGCTACCTATATGCTGACATATATTTAAGGGGATAAAATATAAAATGTGAATTATATGTTGAGCCAGGAAACAATTATGTGACTCAGATGCTTGTTGGATCTACATTCTCCTAAAATAAAAATAGAAACACAAATGATTCTCATATTAGTCAAGGCTCTCAGTTATAATTTATAGAAACTCAAAACTCTTTAACTTCTAAGTTAAAGAGTTGACGTGTTGGTCAAGGTTAGTGGAAGCCTCTGACATTATTAGTTTTGTGTTGTGTGGTACTATGAATAATTTCTCTCTCTCTCTCTCTCCTCTCTCTCCTCCTCCCCTTGGAAGTGATTTTTTTTCTTGTGTATTGGTAGGATTTTGAGTCAAGCTTCAGAAGCATGTGGTTTGCTACAGCTTTCCATCTCTGAAATAAAACTGACTTTCTATTGGCTGTCTTGTTATGCCTACTCTGATCTACCAATTACATCCAGGAAATGGGATTCTGAAGGCTTGACTAGATAGTGATGCTCCTCAGAGTCCTGTGAGTGACAGCCTCCATGGAAATAATGTGTGCTAGACACACACAATTCCAGAAATAACAGAATGTGGAACAGAAAGAAACCAATTCAAGTTGGTCAAGTCAATTGTCAAAATTCATTAAGTACCTTGTTTTCTTTTAAGGCTACAATGTGATGTTTTGAGCTTTGTGTTGTTAAAAATAGTGATATGTTTCTAAACCATCATAATTTCACCAAAACCCATTATAGCTTTCTGGCTTCCAGTCTTACTAGAGGAACCAAACCAGCCCTTATTCAAGACACAACTGGTGTGATCTTGCATAAAGTCCACAAATGAGCCTTTCCAAAGGACAGCTTACTGCTCTCCTTGAAGTAGTGTCTGAGAGCTCAGGATTTTGGCCAGACACCACAAAGTACTCACCTAGTGTCGTTTATTGGCCCCTACTAGATCCACCGTTTGTATATCTAGTGGCTTCCAACTTTTTCATATCCTCCTGCTGTTTTATTTGGAGAACATCCCCTAAACTCTAGGAAAATAGTGTGTTCTTCACAGGGTCAAAACTGGCAGCCCACAGACTTGTTTTGTTTGGCTTCTAAAGTTTTGGCTTGAGGAAACAAAACCAGAAAATCTAGCAACTCTGGTCTTGTTACCCGCTGAAGGAAAGAGCTGGGGCATCACAGTTCTCCTTTGTCCTGGTCATTCAAATCCCAATTTTCTTATGTTGGATTATTGTTTGTATTAGCTCTGGCCTGTACAGGCCTCGGACTTGTGAATCCTTATATAAACCGCTGTAGACACATGGCAAATACAGGTTCCTTTTAAACTCATGGAAGCAGGTGGTGCTTTCTGGGGGCTAAATTATCATGAACATTAGCTCTTAAGACAGATAAATTATCCTGGTAATTTCTGCAAACATACCTTGTCGTTTATTATTTATTGGCGATAGAAATGAATTCATAGTTGGGCATCAGTAGCTCACACCTATAATCCTAGCTGCTCAAAATACTGAGATCAGTTCAAAGCCCCCCTGGAGCGAGAAAGGCCATAAGACTTTTATCTCCAATTTGAAGTTAGAAGAACCAAAAGAGTTAGAAGTAGAGGTGTAGCTCAAATGAGTGCCAGCTTCAAGTTAATAGGCTCAGGGACAGTACCCCAGGCCTTGAGTTCAAGCCTCAATACTTGTGTGCACACAGGCATGGGTGCATATTCACACACACTGAGCACGCACACACACACAAACACACATCCTCATTGCAATGAAATGGGTATTTTCAAAGAAAGGAAGAGTCGAGGGAGGAAATGATGCTTCGTACTTACGAAGGCATCCTGAGAGAATAGAATCGTTTGGTTGTCATCTTAGTTCCCCTTGGGGACATGCTAATGGCAAAGCTGGAAGTCATATGATAAGAGGCTTTGAGACACAAGCTGAGGAGCTTTGTTACTATGGTTCTGTCTTTCCTGTGTAATAAAACATTTGTTGTGTACCTTTGACATCCCCGGTAATTTGTGACTTCTGAGGAATATAAGATTGACAAAGCCTCAGTGTGACTGTGACTCACACAAGGTCAGATTGCACAAGGGATATGCACAGGGACAGCTAGAGTCCTCTGTGCGGTGTTCTCCTCCACCCCCAGAAAGAATACATTTGCTTCTCTCACTGATGAGAGCAAAGGCAGAAATTAGTATCAAACATACAAGAAATAAGTAAGCAGCTTTCTGCCTCTGCACAAACTTGATGTCCTGCACTAAGTAGAAAAGACTTCAGTTGCCTAAAAATAGTTATGAATGCCCAATGGAAAGATCAAGGGACAATTCCATCCAAGTTTATGAAAGTGTGGACAGTCCAGCTAAGTGGACCATGAATCTTCGCGCAAAAACCTTAACTAATATTAAAAGTAGTGAGTGCCACTTAGGATCCCCTTAGAAGGGAATGTCTATGCTAAATTCCTGCACACCAGCCAGGCACTGGTGGCTCATACCCAGAGTTATTCAGGAAGCTGAGATCTGAGGATCAAGCTTCAAAGTGACCTTAAGCAGGAAAGCCCATGAGACTTTTATCTCCAATTAACCACCAAAAAAAAGCCAGAAGTGGAGCTGTGACTTGAATGGAAGTGCACTAGCCTTGGGCAAAAAAGTTCTTTAACAGCACCCAGTCTCTAAGTTCAAACCCCAGGACCAACACACACACACACACACACACTACACACACACACACACAAGCAAATCTTCCACACCATTTTTGGAACATGAACAATTTGTTTTTGTCCTGTAGTGTTTCATATTTGAAAGTTAGTTGCTGCTATTTAAAAATTGTAGGTTTTGTGTGAAAAATGCCAATATCCTTCTCTAAAAAAAATAGAAGATCTGGTCCTTCTGGAACCTGTATTTCTACTGGAGAGTAACAAGCTATAGCTGAGTAATAGACAACTATTCTCAGTTATATACCATATACTTCCTGTTTGCCATACTTTCCAATCTGTCCACTAGCTCTTTGTCAGACTTGTTTGGCTCTTAAAGATATTTGAGTTAGCAACAGCTGCCTTAAGAAGGAGAGAGACAGAGACGGAGAGAAGCATACTTGGCACAAGTAGCTCACAACTATAATTCTAAGAGGCTAAGATCTGAGGATCATGGTTTGAAGCCAGCTTGGGTGGAAAGTCCATGAGATTCTTATCTCCAATGAGCTACTCAGAAAAAGTTGTAAGTGTTGCTGTGGCTCAAGTAGTAGACTGTTAGACTTGAGCCAAAGCAGCTCAGGGACAGTGCCCAGGCCCTGAGTTCAAGCCCCAGGACTGGCACAAGAAAAAAGAAAGAACGAAAGAAAGAAAGACAGAGAGAGAGAGAGGGAGGGAGGGAGGGAGGGAGGGAGGGAGGGAAGGAAGGAAGAAAGGAAGAAAGAGAGAGAGAGAGAGAGAGAAAGAAAGAAAGAAAGAAAGAAAGAAAGAAAGAAAGAAAGAAAGAAAGAAAGAAAGAAAGAAAGAAAGAAAGGAAAGAAAGAAAGAAAGAAAGAAAGAAAAAAGGGAGGGAGGGAGGGAGGGAGGGAGGGAGGGGAGGGGAGGGGAGGGGGGAAGAAGGAAGGAAATAAGGAAGAAAGGAAGTGAGGGAGAGAGAGAGGGAGAGAAAGAAAGGAAAGAAAGAGAGAAAGGAAGGAAGGAAGGAGAGAGAAAGAGACAGAAAGAGCAATATACAATTGTGAAATGGCCTCAGAATGTTGCAAGTCATAAAAGGTTTGGGAAGGGCTTAATCTAATTTGTGGTTGATGAAGAGTTAGAATGGGTTGTGACATTTATGGTCACCTTACAACTTCTCTGTTTATCTGTTGAAGTTTTTGTCATGAGTCTTTGGTTTAATTATGCTGCATATTTGTATCTAGTGAACCTCAGTATCATGCTGAAACTCACAGTCAGTGAATATTCATATTTGGGGGGGAGGGGTATTCATATTTGGGGCTTGAGCTCTGGGCCTGGGCATGGTCCCTCAACTCTTCAGCTCAAGGCAAGTGCTCTACCACTTGAGCCACAGCACCACTTCCAGTTTTCTGGTGGTTAATTAGCTATAAGAGCCTCACAGACTTTTCTGCCTGAGCTGGCTTTGAACCACGATCCTCAGATCTCAGCCTTCTGAGTAACTGGGATTACAGGATGAGCCACCAGTGCCTGGCAAAGTGAATATTTGTTAAAGACCACCTCGTACTGGGCATTGTATTGATGAGTTAGAGAGGAACCAGTTTGTCACCTAACTTTATTCTTAAAGTCAACACTTTAAAAGCAAACTACACTTCATCACTGATACCTTTCTCCATTCTTACCATTTACCAGGCTTTTTCCAAACTAAGGTTGCGACTTCTCCTACCTGTTTCTTCACAGTTGGCTTTGAATTTTTGCCCTAAAACCTCTGCCTCAGGGTCATTCCTGT